GAGACCTTTTTTTATAAATTTCAAATGTATCGTTTCCAAGAGGGTAATATTTTCGAATCCCCATATCTCTGACGCGTATAACAGTATAGGCAATATTAATGTATCAAAAAGTTCCAACTGTAGGTCTACTGGTAAATTGATATTTCTGATTTTCCTATATAAAGCAAATAATGCCTTCTGGGTTTGTTCAGCTAGTTTCTTTTTCGCCTTATCAAAGTTTCCAGTATAGTTAAACAATAACCCAAGGTACGGATAAGAATCTATAATTTCAATTTCCTCTCCGCAAAGCATAAAATTTAATTAATGTACTATTAATTTTCGATTTTCGTTTTGAAAAGACAACTATTTTAGATTTATTTGTATTAACATGTAATTTCCATATTTTACAATAATCGCCGAATACATCTAAAGCTTTCTGTAGACCCTCGGGCGATTCTGCCAGTACAACAGTGTCGTCCGCATATAACAAAATAAACAATTTTAGGTACATTCCGTTAAAATTTTGACTAAGATTATCAATATCTTTGAGACATTTCACCTCATTATTAATTAGGAACTCCTCTAGATCATTCAAGTAGATCGAAAATAAAAATGGCGATACATTTTCCCCTTGTTTTAAACCGATATTGCACGTGAAGAACTGAGTCCATTTTTTAAACATGACTTAGTATCAGTATATAAGTTATAGATTACATTTAGTATTTTGCCATTAATATTGCTTCTCAGCATTTTTTCCCAAAGTCCAACCCTCCACACTCTATCAAAGTTTTTTTTAAAGTCAATGAATGAACAATATAACTTTTTATTATAGGAGAAATACATTGATATTAGTGTTTGCATTGCAAATATATTTTCTGTAGTAGAATAACCTTTCCTAAAGCCAGCTTGGCTTCCATGAATAAGATTTATTTGATCAGATAATTGATTCAATCTATCATTTAGTATAGATGTAAAAAGTTTTCCCAAACACGATACTAAAGTTATTGCTCTATAGTTGTCAAGGTCATTTATGTCGCCCTTGTTTTTGTATATTGGTTTAATTAGCCCCACAGTCCATGGCTTACCCGAACCATCATAAATGTTAAAAATATACATTCACCTAGAAAGATCAAATCTTTCTAGGTGATTGACAGCATGTCTTATCAAATGGTGAAACAACCATTTTACAGGAACAAGTTCGTGTTTTCTTCTATGGTTTTTATCGTTCAAATCTCCGTCAAGGAAGAAACTTTAATTAGAAAACATTCGGAAATTTCCGTCAAAGTTTGAATTTGACGTCACCGCAGAATTACTCCCTAACTGCTCGAACTGTGTGATCGAAATATCCTAACGGTTTCCGATCGGAAATCATAAATGTCTTATAGTTTTCTGTGTTATTATACTCTTTTTGAGTTGGTATAGGTTTATTTTGAGGCTACGGAAACGTAAATATTCCCAGGAAATGTTTGGCTAATCTCTCCTTTCCTGATTTACGACGGTAACAACATGCCAGTATATTTTTTGAATCCGGAGTAATGTTGCCTGATAGTTAGGTTGGTTGTGATGTCAACGTTATATCAAACTATGTGATAATGGCTCCCAGAGATGTAGTTGGGTAGGATCCAGGTATTGCGTGCACACCTGTAATTAAGTACACATCCAGGTGTACCTTTCTAGTTACCGGATACTTTTGAATAGAAACAAAACTCAAGCCTACATCATACTACGGCGTACACCAGTGTTTTTCTCATGCATAATGATAGCTACCCGATCAAGTGATGCTGGTGATTTTCCTACAGATGGATTTGGATTTATGACCACGCTTGCCCTTCGGGAGGCAGATCGTCTGTCTCATACCGGTGTCAGGTGATCCCAGACCTTGTAATTTCTATTGCCATGACAATAGGCGTGGTGGGGTAGAACAAATTGTCTCTCCCTTACGACGCTTCCCCGTTTTTTATTTCCACACGACTGCTTCCCTTGTATCTATGTGATAAATAGAATATCTAACTCGCCGTAAAGCTGTATTATAGCCACCCGATAAAGACGTGCTTGTAATTTTAGATGATATTTTCACTACAGCAATAGCAGAATTAATGCTCAAAAATATCAAAAACTATAACCGACAATAATAACAAGACCAGAAGAATTTCTACAGTTAAAAGAAGAAAACAGTGACAGAGACGCGTGTCGTTGTTTTTGAAGCCCTGGTATGACAGCACCTATATGGCAGTAATGGTCGGATTGGACGAGTGGTTAACTACGCAGGCGGCCGAGGTTCGATCCCCGAAGTCGTCGTACGCATGGATATTCAGAGAAAGTGTTTTTCTCCTGCCCACACAACTTCAACAACCCATGTGGAGTATACATTGGTCTGGGGTGTATGTTGCGGAATCTATGCTGTGCATACAAGTGAGGTGGCACTATACATGATACCGTTGGAACCACGCTCCCACTACAAACAGAACGCATTACATATCCAGTACACACACAGGCATACAAACATTGGGAGGTATTAGCCAGGTGGCATAGGACTAGTAGTTAGCGTCTAATTGTATTAATTGTATATATCCATGTACTGTAAAGCGCTTTAGAGTGGCTTACGTTAGCTGGTTATAGCGCTATATCAAATGTTGTATACTTATTTTATTTATTTAAAGTATGTTGCTATTTAGAAAAGAAATACCGACATGCTCATCACTAGTCACAGCGTAGAGATGCATGTCACTTACCAATCTTGATAATATTTATATTCATTTCCTATAAATGTCAGGCTATCACGTGACTCCGACGATAACTGGATAATCAATGCACGATTATTTTCATATTCCTTTAAAATGTACGTTATAGTGAATGGTTAGAGCCTCGGTCTGGGTGTAAGTGACCTACATGATTTGGCCTTGAGGCAGTGTAATAGTTATAATGAGTGGTGGGAGCCTCGATCTGGGTGTAGGTGACCTTGGCTTCAGGCAGTGTAAGTTATAGCGTGTGCTAAGAGCCTCGGTCTGGGTGTAGGTGACCTGACCTCCGGGCAGTGTAAGTTATAGCGTGTGCTAAGAGCCTCGATCTCGGTGTAGGTGATATGGCCTCCAGGCAGTGTAAGGTAAAGCGTGTGCTAAGAGCCTCGATCTCGGTGTAGGTGATATGGCCTCTGGGCAGTGGACGGTATAGCGTGTGCTGAGAGCCTCGATCTCGGTGTAGGTGACATGGCCTCCGGGCAATGTAAGGTATAGCGTGTGCTGAGAGCCTCGGTCTGGGTGTAGGTGACATGACCACCAGGCAGTGTAAGTTATTGTGATGTCAGTGACCTATTTAGTGTGGCCTCCAGACGTCGTGCGTTATTCCAGGTACGTATACACTGCCTTATCTGTCGTAGACACAACCTCATCATGATGCTGATCTCGCCGCTAACACTACACCATCTATGTTTATCACTGTTTTGGGATGGAACGGTCGGGTGACATTTTTGTCAGTCCACATGTCCGTCTATTGACCTATTTTGTTCCGAACGGAACGGTCACCTATCCCAATGGTGTAGCAATGATGACAGTTATCTCCCCTTTTACTGCACGCACGGTTTTTAAACACAGCTGCGTTCCGTTTGTCGTGTCTTACTACTTTTAGGCTTACACGTATAACTGGATTGAGTATTGACAGTTTTGTTTTGAGGACGATATTAATATTTTTGGTTCTAAGTAGATCCATATTTGAAAATTGAATTATTTCACTGGCTAGTGTTTGTACCACAAACTATTTCACTGGCTAGTGTTTGTACCACAAACTATTTCACTGGCTAGTGTTTGTACCATAAACTATTTCACTGGCTAGTGTTTTTACCACAAACTATTCCACTGGCTAGTGTTTGTACCACAAACTATTCCATTGTAATTCTGCCCCAGTTGGCTGGTCAAACACGGAAATTCATTTGTGCATCTCGGTTATTGAAGTATGCACATCTTTCTCCCCGTCCGTCTTCATATTCTCCCCTCTATGTCACTACCCGTCATCGTAGATATACCTCTAATACAATCCTCACAGACCTACGTAACGCTAGCCGTATCACGCGAGGCCGAGGGATTATTGACAGGTCAAGTCAAAAAGGAAAACATATAAACATGTACTAGATTTGTGCCCCTCACTAAATCAATAGTCGCATTGTTTTACGGTACGGATACACAGCTATTTACAAGCAGTGTACCAAGACTTTACCACCGCCTAACAAGTACCATTCCATAGGACCACATATCAGTTTTTCATATTTCTTTTGTAAGACAGGTTTGTAAGTTTATTATTATTATTTTTCTCAAATAGTTATATGCAATACGATGGATGATTTGGAACAATTATTTTTCACGAAAGAAAGCCACCTTTCGCATTGTGTTTGTGATAGAGTTACCTCCCTTAATAATTTTTATTCGAACTGAGACAACGTGGAACACTTCTGAAATCGAAAATAATTATACAGTATAAGAAACGAAAACGTAAAAGAAAAAAGAAATAATGTCTATCACCAACTTTTTCTTCACTAAAAACGTCGCAAGGATTCATCAAAGGTGTGGTGTCTATGTATGTACCTGTTGTTGTGAGTGAGTGTCTACCTGGAAGGAGTGTGTAGTGGTTGGTTTCTACCTGGTTGGACTGTGTGGTGGTTGTTCGTGGCTGCCTGTATGGTTGGACTGTGTGGTGGTTGTACGTGGCTGCCTGTCTGGCTGGACTGTGTGGTTGTTGTACGTGACTGCCTGTATGGTTGGACTGGGTGGTGGTTGTACGTGACTGCCTGTATGGTTTGACTGTGTGGTGGTTGTACGTTGCTGCCTGTCTTGGTGGTTGTTCGTGGCTGCCTGTATGGTTGGACTGTGTCGTGGTTGTACGTGGGTGCCTGTCTGGTTGGACTGTGTGGTTGTTGTACGTTGCTGCCTGTCTGGTTGGACTGTAAGGATTCATCAAAGGTGTGGTGTCTATGTATGTACCTGTTGTTGTGAGTGAGTGTCTACCTGGAAGGAGTGTGTAGTGGTTGGTTTCTACCTGGTTGGACTGTGTGGGGGTTGTTCGTGGCTGCCTGTATGGTTGGACTGTGTCGTGGTTGTACGTGGGTGCCTGTCTGGTTGGACTGTGTGGTTGTTGTACATGGCTGCCTGTCTGGTTGGACTGTGTGGTGGTTTTACGTAGCTGCCTGTCTGGTTGGACTGTGTGGTTGCTGTTCGTGGCTGCCTGTCTGGTTGGACTGTGTGGTGCTTTCGCACGGCTGCCTGTCTAGCTGTCGGTATGGTTGGACTGTGTGGTTGTTGTACGTGACGGTCTGTCTGGTCGGACTGTGTGGTTGTTGTACGTGGCTGCCTGTCTGGTTGGACTGTGTGATGGTTGTACGTTGCTGCCTGTCTGGTTGGACTGTGTGGTGACTGTGTGGTGGTTGTACGTGGCTGCCTGTCTGGTGTATGGTTGGACTGTGTGGTGGTTGTACGTGTCTGCCTGTATGGTTGGACTGTGTGGTTGTTGTACGTGACGGTCTGTCTGGTCGGACTGTGTGGTTGTTGTACGTGACTGCCTGTATGGTTGGACTGTGTTGTTGTTGTACGTGTCTGTCTGTCTTGTCGGACTGTGTGGTTGTTGTACGTGACTGTCTGCCTTGTTGGCCTGTGTGGTGGTTGTACGTGGCTGCCTGTATGGTTGGAGTGTGTGGTGGTTGTACGTGACTGCCTGTATGGTTTGACTGTGTGGTGGTTGTACGTTGCTGCCTGTCTTGGTGGTTGTTCGTGGCTGCCTGTATGGTTGTACTGTGTGGTGGTTGTACGTGGGTGCCTGGCTGGTTGGACTGTGTGGTTGTTGTACGTGACTGGCTGTCTTGTTGGACTGTGTGTTGGTTGTACGTGACTGCCTGTATGGTTGGACTGTGTGGTTGTTGTACGTTGCTGCCTGTCTGGTTGGACTGTGCGGTGGTTGTACGTGACTGCCTGTCTGGTTTGACTGTGTGGTGGTTGTACGTGGCTGCCTGTCTGGTTGGACTGTGTGGTGGTTGTACGTGACTGCCTGTCTGGTTGGACTGTGTGGTTGATGTACGTGGCTGCCTGTCTGGTTGGACTGTGTGATGGTTGTACGTTGCTGCCTGTCTGGTTGGACTGTGTGGTGGTTACGTGACTGTCAGTCGGGTTGGACTGTGTGGTGGTTACGTGACTGTCAGTCGGGTTGGACTGTGTGGTGGTTCTACGTGGCTGTCTGGTTGGACTGTGTGGTGGTTGTACGTGACTGTCAGTCGGGTTGGACTGTGTGGTGGTTACGTGACTGTCAGTCGGGTCGGACTGTGTGATGGTTGTACGTGGCTGCCTGTCTGGTTGGACTGTGTGGTGGTTGTACGTGGCTGCCTGTCTGGTTGGACTGTGTGGTGGTTGTACGTAGCTGCCTGTCTGGTTGGACTGTGTGGTGGTTGTACGTGACTGTCAGTCGGGTTGGACTGTGTGGTGGTTGTACGTGACTGTCAGTCGGGTTGGACTGTGTGGTGGTTACGTGACTGTCAGTGTGGTCGGACTGTGTGGTTGTTGTACGTGACTGCTTGTCTGGTTGGACTGTGTGCTTGTTGTTCGTGACTGCCTGTCTGGTTGGACTGTGTGGTGGTTGTACGTGGCTGCCTGTCTGGTTGGACTGTGTGGTTGTTGTTCGTGACTGCCTGTCTTGTTGGACTGTGTGGTGGTTGTACATGACTGCCTGTCTGGCTGGACTGTGTGGTTGTTGTACGTGACTGCCTGTATGGTTGGACTGTGTGGTGGTTGTGCGTGACTGCCTGTATGTTTGGACTGTGTGGTTGTTGTACGTGACTGTCTGTCTGGTCGGACTGTGTGGTTGTTGTACGTGACTGTCTGTCTGGTCGGACTGTGTGGTTGTTGTACGTGACTGTCTGTCTGGTTGGACTGTGTGGTGGTTGTACGTTGCTGCTTGTCTGGTTGGACTGTGTGGTGGTTGTACGTTGCTGCCTGTCTGGCTGGACTGTGTGGTGGTTGTACATGACTGCCTGTCTGGTTGGACTGTGTGGTGGTTGGACGTGACTGCCTGTCTGGTTGGACTGTGTGGTTGATGTACGTGGCTGCCTGTCTGGTTGGACTGTGTGGTTGTGTTACGTTGCTGCCTGTCTGGTTGGACTGTGTGGTGGTTGTAAGTGACTGCCTGTCTGGATGGACTGTGTGGTTGTTGTACGTGGCTGCCTGTCTGGTTGGACTGTGCGGTGGTTGTACGTGGCTGCCTGTCTGGTTGGACTGTGCGGTGGTTGTACGTGACTGCCTGTCTGGTTGGACTGTGTGGTGGTTGTAAGTGACTGCCTGTCTGGATGGACTGTGTGGTTGTTGTACGTGGCTGCCTGTCTGGTTGGACTGTGAGGTGGTTGTACGTGGCTGCCTGTCTGGTTGGACTGTGAGGTGGTTGTACGTGGCTGCCTGTCTGGTTGGACTGTGAGGTGGTTGTACGTGGCTGCCTGTCTGGTTGGACTGTGCGGTGGTTGTACGTGGCTGCCTGTCTGGTTGGACTGTGCGGTGGTTGTACGTTACTGCCTGTCTGGTTGGACTGTGTGGTTGTTGTACGTTGCTGCCTGTCTGGTTGGACTGTGTGGTTGTTCTACGTTGCTGCCTGTCTGGTTGGACTGTGTGGTTGTTCTACGTTGCTGCCTGTCTGGTTGGACTGTGTGGTGGTTACGTGACTGTCAGTGTGGTTGGACTGTGTGGTTGTTGTACGTGACTGCCTGTCTTGTTGGACTGTGTGGTGGTTGTACATGACTGCCTGTCTGGTTGGACTGTGTGGTGGTTGGACGTGACTGCCTGTCTGGTTGGACTGTGTGGTGGTTGTAAGTGACTGCCTGTCTGGATGGACTGTGTGGTTGTTGTACGTGGCTGCCTGTCTGGTTGGACTGTGTGGTGCTTTCGCACGGCTGCCTGTCTAGTTGATCGTTCGCCTGCCGCTCTCACTGTGTGGACACCTGCACGATTTGATAAAGTATGTTTTCGTACCGAGGTTATATCTATACGTATCCGATCAAATTACTGAGGTAAGAAATAAACATAGGCAGACATTCTTGGTTTTTTTTTTTAATTTTAAAGAAAGGAATGAACATTTTCTCTACACCTGAAGTATACGCCTGTCAAACATTGTGTAATTTACACGCCTGTTTACATGGATGACATGTATAGAACTTTCCTGTACATTAATTAATAGCAACACACAAATGTACGAGCACTTGATAACTCAAGTATCATAGTGTGTTTAATACGACACACTCACAACTCAAATTTTATCCAGTGTTTTAATACGGAGCAACAGAATGAGCGATTGTTTTTTTTTTTTTTTTTTTTTTTTTTTTTTTTTTTTACATCTATTGACAATTTAATGAATGGAGCAAATTATTAAAGATTGATTCCGATGACTTTTTAGCAATATTTTACTATAAATGTCGAAATAAACAAGTGGTAAAATACAGATTCAATATTTATATCTTAATTGAAAAAGATATCAGTAGATCGCACAGGTATTGACGTATAATTTGTTGAATAGATTTGATGTTGGTACAAGTATCCGTTGGGACAGATGTTTGGACAGGTCTAGTTGTGTGATATGGCTAAGTTGTGTGTAGATCTTTCTAGTTAGGTTAGCTTTCTTTGGGTCTACGTCAGCACAGCAAAGTTCCATATAGTTATATCTAGTACCGTAACGTAAGGTATGGCGGAGTTGGATGTAGACTATGCAAGTAAAGTTATAAAAATATGTCTAAGTTGGGAGAAATCCTTTATAATAAAGTTCCGTAAGTATGGCTAAGCTGTATGTAACCCTTTATAATAAAGTTCCGTAAGTATGGCTAAGCTGTATGTAACCCTTTCTAGTTAAGTTACGTAAGTATGGCTAAGCTGTATGTAACCCTTTCTAGTGAGGTTATCTAAATATTGCTAAATTGGATGAAAACCTTTCTAGTAATGTAAGCTAAGTTAAGTATGGCTAAGCTGGATGTAGTCATTTCTAGTGAAGTAAGGTAAGTATGGCTAAGCTGGATGTAGTCATTTCTAGTAAAGTTACGTAAGTATGGCTAAGCTGGATGTGTCCCTTTCTAGTAAAGTTACGTGAGTATGGTTAAGCTGTACGTTCCCTTTCTAGTAAAGTTACGTAAGTATGGCTAAGCTGGATGTGTCCCTTTCTAGTAAAGTTACGTAAGTATGGTTAAGCTGTATGTTTCCCTTTCTAGTAAAGTTACGTAAGTATGGTTAAGCTGTATGTTCCCCTTTCTAGTAAAGTTACGTAAGTATGGCTAAGCTGGATGTGTCCCTTTCTAGTAAAGTTACGTAAGTATGGCTAAGCCAGATGTTTCCCTTTCTAGTAATGTTGCGTAAGTATGGCTAAGCTGGATGTTGTCCTTTCTAGTAAACGTTTGGCTAAGCCAGATGTTTCCCTTTCTAGTAATGTTGCGTAAGTATGGCTAAGCTGGATGTTGTCCTTTCTAGTAAAGCAACGTTAGCATGGCTAAGCTGGACGTTTCCCTTTCTAGTAAAGACAGTATTGCTATGCTTGGCGTAGTCCTTTCTAGTAAAGTTACATAAGCTGGATGCAGTGATTCTAGTAACGCAGCGTAAGTAAGACTCACTTAATTAATGGTCTTTCCGGTAACTCTACGTCAGTACAGCGAAGTTCGATAAGTTATTTCCGGTAACTCTACGTAAGTATCGCGAAGTTCGACCCAGTCCTTTTTAGCCATTATCGGGATGCAGGAGATTTAGTAACAGAAGCACGGTGTGCATTTCGAGCCCCAGGTACAGTCGGCATGTGGGGTCAGGTTTCGGTACCAACGTTATCGGGAGGGGCCAGTGGCTAGCACCGCCTTTGATGATAAGCGCACGTGTGCAGTGTTGAGCGGAGCCATGTGCTAAAACACCACACCATCAACTGTAACATAGCGCTTCGGGAGGAATACGAGTGTGCATATTGCCTCAAATTAATACCAAACACATTTTTGTTAGTTTTTCATGTCAAGTTTTATAGATGAAACACGTCATGTTGGCATTGCACATGTGTAACTCCTCTGTGAGGCCGTTTGACCATCAACTTCCGGTTGTTAACACTTAGTAAGCTTAAAATAATTATGTGTTTGGGATAATTAACCTTCACAAACATTGTACGTCTCTCTGAAACTTTAACAAATATTTTCCTAAAACATGGCGCAATGCTGCTTTATTGTACGTCTGTCTATAACTTTACCAAATATGACCCTAAACATGGAGCAATGCTGTTTTACTGTACGACTCTCTGTAACTTTAACAAATATGACCCTAAACAAGGAGCAAGGCTGTTTTACTGTACGACTCTCTGTAACTTTAACAAATATGACCCTAAACATGGAGCAATGCTGCTTTACTGTACGTCTGTCTGTAACTTTAACAAACATTACACTAAAAATGGAGCAATGCTGCTTTACTGTACGTCTGTCTGTAACTTTAACAAACATTACACTAAAAATGGAGCAATGCTGCTTTACTGTACGTCTGTCTGTAACTTTAACAAACATTACACTAAACATGGAGCAATGCTGCTTTACTGTACGTCTGTCTGTAACTTTAACAATATTTACCCTAAACATGGAGCAATGCTGTTTCACTGTACGACTCTCTGTAACTTTAACAAATATGACCCTAAACATGGAGCAATGCTGCTTTACTGTACGTCTGTCTGTAACTTTAACAATATTTACCCTAAACATGGAGCAATGCTGTTTCACTGTACGACTCGCTGTAACTTTAACAAATATGGCCCTAAACATGGAGCAATGCTGTTTTACTGTACGACTCTCTGTAACTTTAATAGACATTACCCTAATTATGGAGCAATACTGCATTACTGTACGTCTGTCTGTGACTTTAATAGATATTACCCTAACTATGGAGCAATGCTGCTTTACTGTACGTCTGTCTGTAACTTTAACAAACATTACTTAAACATGGAGCAATGCTGCTTTACTGTACACTACCCTAACCTTGGAGCATTACTGCTTTATTGAACGTCTGTCTGTAACTTTAATAGACATTACACTAACCTTGGAGCAATGCTGCTTTATTGTACTTCTCACGGTAAATTTTAACAAATCTTATTCATTGAGCTTCCTTTGTGTATTACTTGAAACATATTCATGATGTTACTCTCGCGAGATTTTGCGAGGCTGAGCATGCGTCTGTCTCCCCAGTTAAATGAAGCACGTGCATCGGTAGCAGTATAACATTTTCGCTTAATTGAAAATTCTTCTCAAAAAAGGTTGTTATTGGAGTGTACATTTTTTATTATACTTTCCGGTCATGGTTTGAATAGATATGCTGTGCGTGTTAGAAGTTTAGCATTTCTATCGGAAAGTATTTACATTTGACCACAGTACTGGACATTATGTAAATTCGACTGGTCAAGTGAATCAGGTAACACAATTACAGGATAGTACCAAAACACAATACGAAGTGCTCGTTTACAAACAATGGCGATATTTGCCCTCACCTTCTCTCTTGATTATATATCATCATAATGGATGTTCCTCTTATGAAATCTTCACTTTCGTTTTCAAGTTTTATTCCTATACGTAAGGTTAAGAAGAATGAGAAAAAACAAATTTAATCGCTTGAACAGTGTCTGCCCTTAGAATTTGACAAAAGTCACAGACGGAGTGAACAGATTTGGGGAGATGACAGATCCTAATCACCTCATTAACGTTTTCACAGATTATATATCACTACGCTAGCCCCTATCACGGTGGACTGACTCATAGGTCCCAGCCGGCGAGCTCACCCAGTGGTCGTAAATATCCCTCCGCGCACGTGACCCTATCGTTAATGATCCTTCAAAAAAACTAATAGTATCAAAATCACCGATTATAAAGGAAAATCTCCATTAAATTTTTTCTTCGGTGTAGAAAAAGTGGTTTACTTTGATGACGGGTGCTTTAATTTGATAAAATTGCTACTGACATCGCACGGGGGTGATTACCCGGAGTCGCAGTCCCGGGGGACGGGACGGACGGCGTGGTAGCATCATCAGTCTAGAGCGTTACGTGTCTAATGCAATTATTTGCATCCAGATTTGACAACGGCTAAGCGATTTAATTCAAATATTTTGCAGCTAATTTGATCAGATAGAAAATGTGGTGAAGTTTGGCCGCCGCTCCTGACAATTGTTTTCACAGAATAACCAGCATGTTTTCCTCTTTTGAGGGTTTAAACAGTTTTCTTGTAAGTACCTGTATCATACAGCGTGGACGATTTATTGACTTTATCTCATTTTAAAGGGACAAATTCCCAACAGTTACATCACAAACGTTGGAATCCATTTTAAGGATTATATCATCTGTCCTCATAATGTATACGATGTTCCGCGGACGTTGTCACCACTAAATTGTGGAAGTAATGCTTTACTTTACGAGGTATCCGTCTACAAGACCACTTAAATGTTGTTAATAGTGTCTTTATAAAATTAAAACATACACGGAAGTCTGTACTCTGAAACTTCTGTGAATCAAGTCATTTTCTTGAGTAGATATTTTTGCGATTATGCTACAAATGACACAAGTTTTCGCGAAGTATGAAAACTTGCA